ACTCTGGGCTACAGGCTTTGCAAGGTAGGAGAAAGGCGAGTTTGGGGTCCTCTCTGCAGGGTTGGTGGCATCCTGTCTGTCTTCTGACACTTCAGTGCCACCCACCACAGGCTGTGTTTGTACACAGGGAGCTGCCAGTTCTGCCCAGTTGGCTGGCTGTGGCATGCAGGGCACTGCTATTACTTTTCCTCAGCCAAAAGGAGCTGGGAGCAGAGCAAGGAGGACTGCTGCTCTAGGGGAGCACAGCTGGCCATCATCCAAACCAACAGCACACTGGTGAGTACCCGGTTGGCTGCTCCAACCTCACCATGGTCATTGGATGACATCAGTGTCTCCCAGTGATCTTCCAGTGCCTAAAATCCAGCTGGGATCTGGATGCTGTGCCAGAGCCAAGTGGCTGCAGCTGGGTGTCCCTGAGGAATTCATGCCTATCTCCTCCTGTGCAGGCTTTCCTGACACACGTGTCCCATATGGATGTTTTCCATGTGGGCCTGAAGCGGAGCCTTTCTGGGTTTGAATGGAAATGGCTGGATGGCACTACGCTGAAGAGGTGAGTGCTGCAAGAGGTTGGAGAGGTAATGGAGGGGACAGCCAGCCTGCAGGCAGGGATGCGCTCCCTGGCTCAGCCCCCTGCCTCTCATTCTTCCTATCTCTTCCCACTCCCTCCAAACAGGCTCTTCCGAATCCAACGCTCCACCAGCTCCTTCCTGGCCTGTGGCAGAGTGTCAGGATCAGGGCTGTCTGGTGGTGACTGTAGGGAAGCCCATGGCTGGATATGCGAGAAAAGTGCAGTCAACCTGCAGTGGCTGCAGTCCTCACCACCTGCTTTCCTCTGGGGAAACACCACCTATACTTGTGCAGGGCCCTGATGACCATGGGGACAGCCAGTGCCCAGCACCCACCCCTGCCTGCCACGTAGCCAGGGCACTGACTCTGTATTCACAGCTGTTCGTCCCTCTCCTTTGTTTATTGCACGTTGCTAATAAACTTTGACACTCACACTCTGGATGGCGTTGGGGTTTAGGGTTGGGATTCAGAGCTAGCATGGGTACAAATGTCCCCATGCCTGGTGGGAGGTGGAACAGGTCCTGTGTGGACTGGGGCAGATGCTCTTATGTCCATCCTCCCCATGTGGGAGCAGACAAGCAGCTCAGTGAGGGCATTCCTGGGTGCTCCCCACGCTGGCTGCTACCTGAACATGGAACTGGTGATGCAATGGGGAAGAGAACATGGGGGAAAGCCAGGTCCTTCTGTGGCCAAGGCTATGGGGCTACTGGTGCCACACAATGGTGGTGTGGTTTAACTCCACAGGCAACTCAGTAACTCACAATGCTTTGCTCACTCCCACCCTCCAGGGGGAAAACAGTCTGACCTCCCTTCCAGTCTGAGCCATTCTCTTTTCTATGATTCTATGATGTGATGCTGAACAAGGCAGAAAGTGCTGTGCAGGAACAGAGCAGTGCTTTTGCCCTCTGCACAGGATCAGCATTGGAAAGGAAACCACATTTTGCAAATCAGTCAATTACTTCTGCTTTCCTGTAAATCAAGAACTTTCCCCACCCTACACTTGATCATAAGTTACCATCTGACTGAAGTGAGTAGAAGTCAAATTTGCTGGCCTGTTCCTGTCTGGGGCAGAGCCACCAGCAGCCCCATGGCCCAGAGCGTGCTCTACGCCGACCTGAGATTCGCCAAGGGGCCAGGGGGCCACGGCACAACCAGCCAGGCGCTGGAGGCAGGTAAGAGTCATGGGGACCTCACACCTCCCCACATGGCCAGCATCATCACCCATCGCTGCCCGCCCTTCCTCCCACAGCCAGCGTGGACGACACAGACAGCCCCTATGAGAACGTTGTTCCGGGATCAGCACCTGTGGGGACAGCAGGGGAAGGGACCCAGCACAGCCCAGGTAAGTGTCCGGAGGGGGCCAGGGATGGGGATGGGGATGGGGACAGGGGCCCCGCTGCCCCCAGCAGCGTGGGTGACTCGTGGCTGCTGGTGTGTCTTGCAGGGCACTGGTCCCGGCGGTGCTGTGTCCCTGCGGGGCTTCTGGCAGTCAGCCTGATGCTCTTGGTGGCCCTGGTGACCCTGGGGACCTGCTGTGAGTGTGGACGGCGTGGCTGGGGAGGGAGTGGTGAGGCAGGACGGGGGCCAGAAGGAGCTCAGGGCTGGGGTGGTGCAGCTTCTCACTGGGCTGCGCCATGCTGCCTGCACCGCATGTGCTGCCTGCATCTTCCAGTGCTGCCTGCATCTTCCAGTACTGCCTGCATCTTCCAGTACTGCCTGCATCTTCCAGTGCTGCCTGCATCTTCCAGTGCTGCCTGCATCTTCCAGTGCTGCCTGCATCTTCCAGAACTGCCTGCATCTTCCAGTACTGCCTGCACTGGGAGTGCTGCCTGCATCTTCCAGTACTGCCTGCATCTTCCAGTGCTGCCTGCATCTTCCAGTACTGCCTGCATTTCCAGTACTGCCTGCACTGAGTGCTGCCTGCATCTTGCAGTACTGCCTGCATCTTCCAGAACTGCCTGCACTGCATGTGCTGCCTGTGTTAGCCTCCCATGGATTACTATTACTTCCTATTGCTTCCCAGTACCTCCCACTGTCTCCCATCCCTTTTTGTTGCATTCCATTCATTCCCATTGCCTCTCACTTCTTTCTTCTACCTCCATTTTCCTCCCTCTTATCTCCTATTAATTTCCACTGCCTTCCATTGGTTGCCATAACTTTTCAGTTGCCTCCTATTTCTCCCCACAGACTCCCATTGACTTTGCTTTCCCATAGATTTCTCACTGTTTCCCATTGCATATCGTTACCTTCCACTGGTTTCCATTGCTTCCCATTGCTTGCCAATTGCTAAATCAGTATCCTCTACCTTTCAGCTCTCTTCTGTGTTCTTTCTACTGCCTCTTATTGGCCCCATTTTTTCCTATTGCCTCCCATTGCCTTCCATTGCCTTCCCGCTACTTCTCACTTCTTTCCATTTAAGTCCTTTGTTCTCTGTTGCTTACCATTCCCCTCCACTTCACTTCCCATTTCCTATTCACTGCCTTCTACTGATTTCCACCATCTTTCATTATTTCCATCACCTCCCATTGCCTTCTAGTTTTCTTCCTCGTGTCTCCCAATGTGTGTTGCCTTATGTTAACCACTGTTGGCTGCTCCCTGCCTTCCATTGCTCCATGTTGATTCCCACCACATTCTCACTGACTTTCTCCCACTCTCTCCCACTGCCTTCCTCCACCTCTCATTTATTCTCATTGAATCACAGTGCATTACCATTGACATACTACTCTTTTCTACTGCCTTACTTTTGTCAATCATTGATTTCTACTGCCACCCATTGCTTTCTAGTTGACTTCCCCTTGCTTCCCACTGCGTTCCCATTACATGCCATCAATTCTCATGACTGTCCAAATGAATTCCCTTTGCCTCCATCCCCCTTGACTCGCCTGTATTGCCCTGCCTGCCCCGCTCCCAGCCATGACCCACACCCCCTGCTCAGGCTGCCCCATCCCCATGCTCCAGCTCACTTTGTCCCATCCACAGACTGGCAGGTGAACCACCAGCTGCAGAACGTATCCAGGGAGCAGGCCACTGAGCGCGGCCACTTCTCACAGGAGGCACAGGTGTGGAAGCAGAGCCTGAGGCAGACACAGCAGGAGCTGGCATGGGTGCAAGAGGAGCTGCAGCAAGCATGGCAGGCGGCCCACCGCAGTCAGCAGGAGCTGGCCAGGCAGGATGTCGAGCTGGTGCGTGTCTCAGGGGCCCTGAATGCAACCCAGAGGGAGCTACAGGACGTGCAGGGGAAGCTCAGTGCCGTCGAGCAAGCAGCGAGCAGCCTGCGTGTCTGCCTGAATGCAGGTATGGGCACAGCGCAGTGGGGAGGGGGCAGTGCCTGAGGGGTGCGGGGCCCACGTCTGCAGGCGGCCAGCAGCTGAGCTGTGCTGCTGTCTCCAGACTGCTGCCCCTCGGGCTGGCTGCTCTACCGTGGCAAGTGTCTCTTCATCTCGGCGGTGAAGAAGAGCTGGTGGGAAAGCCATAGGGATTGTGTGAAGAAGTCTTCCCATCTGCTGATCCAAGATGAATGGGAGTCGTGGATGCTGCCGGTAAGTATGGGGGCTGCAGCTCCACAGCAGGATGCCCCCTATTGCCTGCTGCCACCTTCCTGGCATACGGGCTGCTGGGAACACAGGTGGTCCCAGTGCTCCTGGCCACTGAACATTGGGCTTGACAGATTCTCTTCCCACAGCAGTTTTTGCAAACAGGTGGTGCCAGATACTGGATTGGAGGACAATACTGGCCATCAGATATTCAGAAGCTGAATAAGAAGCCACATAACATGTAAGTCAGTAATGTCCCTCTTGGCCAGCCAGGGTTAGATGTACCACACCCTGCCTGGCTCTGTCCCTGACCAAGGAAGGATGTTCTGGTGGGAACAACTCTGGCTCTTCTGCTTTGCTGAAAGGACCTGGTGGCAGACAGCAGGCTGGGGACATCACCAAATATGTCAGCCTGTAACCTCTCACCTGCTTCTTCAATTCTAGGGGAGAGCTTACTTACTGTGTAGCAACAGCCCATGGGATGATAGACCAGAAAAACTGCAGAGAGGATTATGCATGGATCTGTGAGCAAGCCCCACATATGAGCGGCGTATCAGAGAGCATCTTTTCTCTGCTTGCCAAAGAGTGATTCTGGCGCTCCTCCATCACAGAACTTGGAGACAGAAGCCATGGATACAAAAGGAAGACAGCCTTCCGGTTGGGCATGGCACCGTGCGTGTGGCTTGACATGGTCTGGGGAGGTAGATGGGGAAAGAGAGTGTTTTAAAATTTGCCTGTCTGTTTCTCACACTCACGCCCATCCTTGATACTTGACAATAAATTCAGGGCCTTCAGCATTTAATTCAAACTCTTCACAACCTGACATTCTGTTTAGTGAAGGTTGGTTTGTTCCTGGCAGCTGGAGCCTCAAAGCAGAGTCTCAACATCATACAAGCCTTGAGGAGATACACCGTACCCTGCTAGAGTTGATTGGTGCCCTAACAAGGTAAAAATGCTGATTAGAAACTCAGTCAGCAGCCACCTTCTTCGTAAATAAGTTCCTGGCCATATATGGACCTGGCTTATGTAACACGTGACTTTCTGGGTAACACTTTCCTGTGGTACCTCAATACCACCAAAGACATCCTTGAAAGAACCCCATATTAACACAGAACACGTGTAGTTGGCTTTTCAACCTGTCTCTTGGGTTGGTGATTTCATTCCTGGATCTTGATGACATGCTCGCAGTGCTCTGCCCTCTGGTCACGGCTCTCAGCCATGCCATACTGAGCTCTGCTCACAACCTCTGCAAGGCAGTCAATAAATCACCTCTTACACATTTTGAAGATGGCTATGATGGCCCCATTGGTGTTCCTAACCTGTCTGCCTTCACTTCACCCCAAACCACCCCCACTGACCATGTTCCTCATTGCCACATCTCCATGGTTCTTGGCTGCCCACAGGGACCGTGAATCCACCAGCTTCCTGGGCAGCCTGTGCAGGTGCATCACAATTCTTGTGGAGAAGAAATTTTTTCCTGTATCCAACCTGAATACCCCACAAATCCAATATGATATCACCATGAAAGACTGGCTATGGGACAAGGGGACATGTGTGCAGATCAAGGAGCAGGAAAACGTTGGTAAAAGTGTCCGCATGCATGTGAGAGAGGGGAATGAGGTGTATTTTTCATAAGCCTTGCTTTAAAATACAGGCAGTTCTCCAGAACATTTTCTCCATGCTTTGCCACATGTTGGAAAGAATGCATACACAGCACTGGGATATTTCTATGGGCAGCCCCGCTGCTGTCCCCCAGGCCTGTAATATGGAGGGGCTGGCAGCAGGGTCAGTCCTCGGTCAGGAGAGGAGTGAGGCTCTCAGTCACGCTGCTCAGCTTTGGGGGCTGCTCACAGATCCATGGGTAAAGCCTCCAGCATGATAAGCTCTGCATTTTCCCGGCTACTAACAGTGCACAGTCTTCACTGTAATCATACCTAGGAGACAGGACACATGTCAGAGAAGCAGGGAAAGCATACACCGCCTGCACACAACCTCAAGTTCCTGCACTGAGGACACAGTGAAAGAAGAGTCTCCTTCCCGATAGTGGTTTTCTCTGACCAAGTCCATTCTACTACCAAGTGGACAAGCTTATGGATGGCACTGAACCATACACTAGGATATGATGCTGAATCTGAGCATCGCTTCCTGGGGAGCGTGGTGCTGTGCCCTACGAGTGGGCTCTGACTATAGCTGTTTGGAGCACCACTCTAAGGAGGAGCTCATGAGTTGAAAAGACACATCAGGGGTATGGGAAATAGGGTAACCTGCACTTCCAATGATTGGGCCAGGGACTGCTAGATATACGTGCAAAACAGCTTGCAGTCTCATATACAACTAACCTCTTTGCACTGTAAAACCCTTCTTTCTTGATCCAGTACATGGCACTGTTTGCTTGGAGAAAATTCTGTGAGGAAAGAACACGTTGAGTGCCTCCACCGTGCCTGGTAGTCAGGAGTGCTGGGACAGCCTGGGGGGCATCCTGCTGTGGAGCTGCAGCCCCCATACTTACCGGCAGCATCCACGACTCCCATTCATCTTGGATCAGCAGATGGGAAGACTTCTTCACACAATCCCTATGGCTTTCCCACCAGCTCTTCTTCACCGCCGAGATGAAGAGACACTTGCCACGGTAGAGCAGCCAGCCCGAGGGGCAGCAGTCTGGAGACAGCAGCACAGCTCAGCTGCTGGCCGCCTGCAGACGTGGGCCCCGCACCCCTCAGGCACTGCCCCCTCCCCACTGCGCTGTGCCCATACCTGCATTCAGGCAGACACGCAGGCTGCTCGCTGCTTGCTCGACGGCACTGAGCTTCCCCTGCACGTCCTGTAGCTCCCTCTGGGTTGCATTCAGGGCCCCTGAGACACGCACCAGCTCGACATCCTGCCTGGCCAGCTCCTGCTGACTGCGGTGGGCCGCCTGCCATGCTTGCTGCAGCTCCTCTTGCACCCATGCCAGCTCCTGCTGTGTCTGCCTCAGGCTCTGCTTCCACACCTGTGCCTCCTGTGAGAAGTGGCCGCGCTCAGTGGCCTGCTCCCTGGATACGTTCTGCAGCTGGTGGTTCACCTGCCAGTCTGTGGATGGGACAAAGTGAGCTGGAGCATGGGGATGGGGCAGCCTGAGCAGGGGGTGTGGGTCATGGCTGGGAGTGGGGCAGGCAGGGCAATACAGGCGAGTCAAGGGGGATGGAGGCAAAGGGAATTCATTTGGACAGTCATGAGAATTGATGGCATGTAATGTGAGTGTAGTACGAGGCAATGGGAAGTTAATGGGAAAGCACTGGAATTCAGAGGGAATTAATAGGGGGAATGGAAGGTAGTGGAAGTCAATGGAAATGCAATGGGAAACAACAAGAACATATAAAAGGCAAGGAGTAGCCAAAGGATGTAATGTAAGGGACTGGTAAGACAACTAGAAGGCAGTGGCAGGAGATGGAAACTAGTGGAGGAAAATGGGAAGGTAGTGGGAGGCAAGTAATGTAATGGTAATGTAAGGTAATGGTAATTAGTGAAAGGCAAGAGAAATTAACAGGAGGTGAATGGACGGAAAAGGGAAGTAAAACAAGGCAGTAGAAGGCTATGCAAATGAACAGAATGTAACAGAAAGCGATGGGAGACAATGAGAAGGTGATCAGACATATTGGGAAACAATGGGAAACAGTGGTAATCCATGGGAAGCTGCACAGGCAGCACATACAGTGCAGGCAGTGCAGAAAGTGCAGGTGGCACAGGCAGTGAAATGAATATACGCAGTGCAGGCTGCACTCACAGTGCAGGCAGTACTGGAAGATGCAGGCAGTACTGGAAGATGCAGGCAGCACTCCCAGTGCAGGCAGTTCTGGAAGATGCAGGCAGTACTGGAAGATGCAGGCAGTACTGGAAGATGCAGGCAGCACTGGAAGATGCAGGCAGTACTGGAAGATGCAGGCAGCACTGGAAGATGCAGGCAGTACTGCAAGATGCAGGCAGCACATGCGGTGCAGGCAGCATGGCGCAGCCCAGTGAGAAGCTGCACCACCCCAGCCCTGAGCTCCTTCTGGCCCCTGTCCTGCCTCACCACTCCCTCCCCAGCCACGCCGTCCACACTCACAGCAGGTCCCCAGGGTCACCAGGGCCACCAAGAGCATCAGGCTGACTGCCAGAAGCCCCGCAGGGACACAGCACCGCCGGGACCAGTGCCCTGCAAGACACACCAGCAGCCACGAGTCACCCACGCTGCTGGGGGCAGCGGGGCCCCTGTCCCCATCCCCATCCCCATCCCTGGCCCCCTCCGGACACTTACCTGGGCTGTGCTGGGTCCCTTCCCCTGCTGTCTCCACAGGTGCTGATCCCGGAACAACGTTCTCATAGGGGCTGTCTGTGTCGTCCACGCTGGCTGTGGGAGGAAGGGCGGGCAGCGATGGGTGATGATGCTGGCCATGTGGGGAGGTGTGAGGTCCCCATGACTCTTACCTGCCTCCAGCGCCTGGCTGGTTGTGCCGTGGCCCCCTGGCCCCTTGGCGAATCTCAGGTCGGCGTAGAGCACGCTCTGGGCCATGGGGCTGCTGGTGGCTCTGTTCTGTGCTGTCCCTGCTGCAGCCACCTGTTGCAGGGTGCAAAGTAGAAGTGAGGTGGTGTTTGCAGAAAGCTGACACTGTGTGGCTGTGGAGGAAACAACTAGTCACAGGGACCTGTACCCTGTCATTGGCCCTGCAATGCCAGAACTTCCCCTCCCACACCAGAGAACTGTCACGGTCCCCTGGATTTGTTGTCATTTTGAGCCAAGCCATGAAGTGCAGCAGGGTGAGGGCAGAGACTCACTTCTTGCGTTGGAGTGAGGGTGAGAAAAGGTTTATTGCACAGGGCTGATCCTGCCCCATGTGGACATGGCCCCTTACTGGGCTCTGTGGTAGGATCCAATAACTGTAATGAATAGAAGCATTTTTCTTTCTATCCTTAAAAGGGATTTCCACACTGCATATAGAATTTGTGCATCTCATGACATCCAGGGACTCCCCAGGAAGAGTAGTGCTGGTGGCTCTCATTGTCCTGTTCCAACCAGCATTTCTCTCCATCTACCGCTGGACACCACTCTCCTCTCTGCCAACAATGTGAGCAGGACATTTGGCCCAGGTCCTGAAGGGTCGTAATAAGTAGTCCCATTGCTGTCCCTTTAGAATCATAGGAATCATCTAGCCAAATGCTAATCCATCCCCACCGTGCTCACTGACCACGTCCTTCAGTACAACATCTCCACATTTCTTGGACCTCCACCCCTTGGGAAACCTCACTACCCTCCCTGTGAATACATTTTTCCTGATATCCAATCTGACCCTCCTCCATGCACCCCATCCCACCACTCTCATGGTGGCAGGCAGGAGAGTGGGACAGGTGGCACTTGTCCTTGGAAAATGTCACTCAGGTCCCCAGCCATCACTATGTCCTCCCTGGGCACGGGTCACCCCATGCCCAGCAGGATGTGCTCCATCTTCATGGCGATGGGGTGGGAGCTAACGAAACTTCGTCTTTGCACATTGTGGTGGGAGGAGATCCATATTCCTTGATGCACAAAGGGAAAATGCACACCATGAGCACCTTCAGTCCCCCGTGGAGCACTTCTGGCACTCCTGTGCGCAGCTCTGCTTTGGTCCTTCCCAGCCTTCGGGTGCAGCCCTGCTGTGTCTGTACTCACACCCTGGGCTGCCCGATACTGTCATGTGCCCAGGGGACTGTGAGCTCTCGGAGTGTGGGAGGGGATGTGCTGGTGGTGCTGGGCCAATGGCAGGGTGCTGGTCCCCACGGCTGTGCCTCGCTGGTCCCATCTGCTGTGATTCAGAGCCAAGTTCTGCTTCTGTAAGAGCTGGCCTCACTTCTCTTTTGTACACCAAGCCAGGGTGCAAAGACCACCCCAGAGAGTTGGGTGGAAGACAGCAGGACTCAGGGCTTGTCTGCATGGCCCAGGGAGTGCTCTACACTGACCTGAGGTTTGCCAAAGGGCCAAGGGGCCGTGGCACAGCCAGCCAGCCACTGGAAGCAGGTGAGAACCATGGGATCCTCACATCTCCCCATATAGCCAACATCATCACCTCATTGCTGTCCGACCTTCCTCCTACAGCCCTTGGTATGGATGAGGCTGAGAGTCCCCATGAGAACATCACACCAGAGCTGATGCCTGTGAGGACAGCAGGGGAAGGGGCCTGGCACAGTCCAGGTAAGTGCCTGGTTGGGATGGGGATGTGGGAGGTCATGATGTGGGCAGTGCATGTTGCTTCAGGGCACTTCCCATTCTCTCCTTGGAGAGAGGAAGAGCCCACACTGTGCCACCACGTTGCCACCATGCTGTCTGGGGCTGCCCAAGAAGTGACAGAGGGTGATGGATGGCCACTTGGTGTCTTGCAGGGTGCTGTTCCAGCCGGCGCTGTGTCCCTGTGGGGTTGGTGGCTGTCAGTCTACTGCTGCTGGTGGCCGCCATGGTGCTAGGGGCCTGCTGTGAGTGGGGACAGGTGGCATTGGGATATGGGGACGAGAGAGTGGTGAGGTAGGGGTGGGTGCCACAGACTATGCTCAAGAGCATGGAAGTAGGTTTGTCTGTCCCAGTTGCTCCAAGCTGCAACTTGTCCCTCGCACATTATGGGTATTTCCATTGGCTGCCATCAACCATACTCCTCGCTAGACTCCTCTTTCCTGCTCTCCTGCCCTGATCCTGCCCCAGCCTGCTCTGCTCCTACTCCAGCCCACCCTGCCAGATCCTGCCCAACTCAGTCCACATACTTCCCAGTCCACCCCATCCATTCCCACTCTGCGGTCGCCCACTGCTCTGCTTGCCCCATGCCGAGCCCTTTGCCTCCCACCCAGGCTGCCCCATCCCCATGTCCCAGCTCACCCTCCCTGTCCCCAGACTGGCAGGTGACTCGCCAGCTACAGGACACATCCCTGGAGCAGGTGGCCGAGCGCGGCCGCTTCTCACAGGAGGTGCGGATGCGAGACCAGAGCCTGGAGCAGATGCGACAGGAGCTGGCACAAGTGCGAGAGGAGCTGCAGCAAGCATGGCAACAGGGCAACAATAGCCAGCAGGAGCTGGGCAGGTGGGAGGCCGAGCTGGCGCATGTCTCAGGGGCCCTGGCTGCAACCCAGAAGGAGCTGAACAGCGTGCAGGGAAGGCTGAATGCTAGTGAGAGCACCGTGACCCTGCTGCGCTCCTGCACGGCTATAGGTATGGCCATAGGGCAGCCCCAGCATGCCTGTAGTATTGAAGTGTGGATGGTGGCTTTTCGGCCATGGGGTGGAGATGGGATGATCGAAAGGCTGAAGCTCTGCAGGAGTTGGGGTTCTGCAGACGCCAGTGAGTGCCTGAGCTGATCTGTGCCCCTGTCTCTAGACTGCTGCCCCTCAGGCTGGCTGCTGTACCGGGGAAAGTGCCTCTTCATCTCAACGGACAAGAAGACGTGGGATGACAGCAGGGCAGAGTGTGAGGAGCAGTACTCTCAGCTCCTGATCACCAAATCCTGGAGTCGCTGGACTGTGCCGGTAGGGAGTGAGAGCTGAGTGCCAGGGCATTGCAAAGCTGGGGGCATCCAACAACAAGGGGGCAGCACAAGAAAGATGTGGAACTCTCGGAGTGTGTCCAGAGGAGGGCCACTAAGATGATCAGAGGGCTGGAGCACCTCTCGTATGGAGAAAGGCTGAGAGAACTGAGCTTGTTCAGCTTGGAGAAAAGAAGGCTCCAGGGAGACCTTGTTGTGGCCGTACAATATTTAAAAGGAGAGTATAAACAGGAGGAGAAACGGCTGTTTACAAGGGTGGATAGTGATAAGACAAGGAAGAATGGTTTTAAACTAAGACAGGAGGTTTAGGTTGGATATTAGGAGGAAGTTCTTCACTCAGAGGGTGGTGGTGCACTGGAACAGGTTGCCCAAGGAGGCTGTGGATGCTCCATCCCTGCAGGCATTCAAGGCCAGGCTGAATGTGGCTCTGGGCAGCCTGGTCTTGTGGTTGGTGACCCTGTACAGAGCAGGGGGGTTGAAACTTGATGGTCGTTGTGGTCCATTTCAACCCAAGCCATTCTATGATTCTCTGAGTCTATAATTCTATGATTCTATGATTCCTGGAGCTGGTGTGGGGCTGGGATTGTTCGAGATCTGAGGGAAGATAAAGGCTCTGCAGCCTCTAAATCCCATGGAAGTGTCAAAAGGCCCTTTTGCCCTTCTCCAGAGCTTCCTGAAGAATGCAGACATCGCGTACTGGATCGGGCTGCAGAAGAGCAGGTACCCCTGGTACGAATATGACTGGCTGGAGGAAGAGCCAGATGGTGAAGGGCTGACAGACGCCTGGTTCTGGGTGGACGGCTCGCTTTATGAGAGGTACCCCGTGCTCACATCCCCCCTCCTCTGGTGAGGCTTGATGAAACACTTTACATCCTTTCAGTAGCCAATATGTGAGTGCTGGGCTGAGACGCTCAGAGCCCATGCAACGGGAAAGCTGAACCTTGTGCCCATAGGATGTGGAGAGAAGGGACGAAGGAACCCGCACATTTTAGTGGGGTCTAAGCAAAATGGTTGAGCCCCGTCCCTATCTCCCACACACCACCGTCGTCCTCCTGGAGGGGAAATCATCGCTCCCTCCCCATCACGTGTGCCACCAGCCTGGCTCACATCTGCTTCCTCTTGTGGTGTCTGAAACTAGTGAGGAGGAACAGCCCCGTCTGCTGAGCCCCTGCCTGCCCTTGCACTCTGAGCACACCGGGAGCACCTCCGGGGCGAGATGCTGCCGGTGTGGGGCAGCCCAGCAGGTGCTCCTGGTATGTCCCCATGCAGACCTTGGCAGCCGAAGTCCAACGGGTCATGTGCCGTCATCAGCCGTGGGAACATCAAACCGGCGCAGTGTGAGGGGCCAGACGACCTGCACCTCTGGATCTGCGAGAAGGCAGCAGGGCCCAGCTCCCCGTTCATGTGACGAGAGCAGTGACACGGCCGGCTCACCCCATGGTGCGCAAGGAAGGCAGCAAAGGGGAAAGATGGGGAAAACCCCGTCCCAGCCCCACTCAGCACATCCTTCCCTTTCAGCGCCCGCATCCTCTCTGCTTCAGCTTTCACGCAGCACATGAGCCCAAGGATGGAGCTACCGCCGGAGTTGGCACCGATTAGAGTAGGGCAGTGACCTTCAGGATGGCACCGTGTGGCCATGCACTTCCAAAGCAGCATCCTGCGCCAGACATTTTGCAAGACAAATCATTGGGAATTTAAATAGCTGCCACGCACGTGCAGAATAGCCCCGGTTTATGTTCAGCCTGGCGAGAGCAGAGGAAGTTGTGTTCTATTACGGGGTTGCGCGTTCCATATTTAGTTGATTAATTGGTATGTAAATCTTTTTGCTTGAAGAGCACAAGGCTGTTAAAAGCATTTTAGAGGTGCACGTGTTGCTCCACGTTGTCCGCTGGCTGACCCCATATTGTAGCAAATAAACAGACAAAGCTTGTCTGCTGCTTGCTTTCTTCTTTACTGCTAAGACAAAGACTCCACAATGCAAATCCAGTGATCATAGAATCATAGAATCATTAAGGATGGAAAGGACCACTAAGATCATTTCACACAAATGTCAGCCCATCCCACCATGCCCACTGAATGTGTCAAAAAACTACCATATCATAAATTGGAACTGCCCAAACTACAAACCGTTATTTCTCTGAAGCTAACAACTGAGTTGGCCACTTCGGTGACACTGAACCAAAGCTGCCCCAATGGGGCACAGTCAGATCAAGTCCCTGTCACCCCCAGGCCAGGGCTCCCCATCCCGCTCAATGTGTACCCCAAGAGACACAAGCATCAGCCCAACTTGCTGGGACATTCAGTTTTTATTGAACACTTTAAATAAGCTGGTTATATATTACTAGCTATTATCATTATTAATAATAAAAAAAAACACACAACAGTTCTGCATTCACCAGTGCGTTGTGCGGGAGGGAGGAAAGCCGGCTCCCACTCCTGTCCCTCCCTTATCCCCTGGCCACTCAAGAGATGCTGGGGGCTGCAGGGTGCCCTCAGCTTGGGGTGAGCAATGTGGATGAGTCCCTGGTGCTAGGCAGGACAGCACACATTTGCTGGGGGCTCAGTGCCCAAAGACCCCCAGTGCTGGCCCCTCCCCGGACACCTGTATACCACGGTGTTTCATCGTGTCAGGGACCAGGTGGGTGTCCTACACTTGCAGGGTGGCAGCTGGGACCCCCACTGCTCACATACACTGCTTCACACCCCCTGATCAGCCCTGCTTGTCCCCAGTTCAAGGAGCTGTGAGAGCCCACTGAAGGCTAGCCCATGGGGACAGGGGAGTCCCACAGGCTTCAGACCTGCGGGGAACTGACCCTGCCGCCTGGGGCAGCAGTGTTATTGCACTTCAGCCCCCCAGGCTGTAAGGGCTTCCATGTGCTGAGTGAGCTGTGATGGAGTGGGGAACACCCCAGGCTCCCAGCGGGGTCCCCACCACTAGGACTGTGCCTCAGGCAGCTTCAGGCCAGGCTCCGCTGACCCCTGGGCTTTCTGGAGGCGGTCGTGGCAGAGGAGGCTCTTGGCCTCGCAGTTGAGGTTCTGGTAGCGGGGTGGGCTGGGTGCTGGCCGGTGACAAACAGAGGTGAAGCTGAAGGGCCCCAAGCAGCAGCTAGGGCAGGGCAGCACCTCGTCCTGCTCCAGCACCATGCTGGAGCCATGCCCAGGCAGCATGGCCGCACACTCCGTCCGCTCCAGCGCCGCTGCCGCGCAGGGGATGCTGAGCTCAGAAAAGCCATCCTCCAGCCCGCTGCCCCAGGACAGCGGCTTGCTGACTGCTGCAGGGTGGTGACTGTTGAGGAGCCGCCCATTGAGCGGCTCCTGCTGCCACGGATTGCTTCCCGAGGCCAAGGTGCGGATGAAGGTGCCACTAGTGGATGCAGGAGTGTGGAGCTGCGGTGGCGGCTCAGGGTGGTGGGGAGCGCAGCCTCTCCGCTCCTCCACCCTGGGGCTGGATGGGATTCTCGGCTCTCCGCTGTCCCAGCGGCACTGCTTAGGGGCAGGGGGCCGGGAGGGGGACCTCACGCCCAGCGCCAGGCCCCCCCGGTGGGGCAGCTCGGGGGAGGCAGGCAGCGAGTGGCACTTGCGGGATGGGGTGGTGGGTGCTGAGAAGTCACACTGCACCTCCACGGCTGGCTCAGGAGTGATGGGGGTGGCAAGCTGCAGTGGGTTTGGAGGGGGCAGGTCAAATGTGAGTGAGATGACCGACTTGCTGGGGATGTCAAAGAGCTTGATCTTGCCCCCCTTCAGGTCCTCACGCTGGGAGAAGGGGTTGACACGCGCTGGCGTCTCCTTGGTCCTGGCCTCACTGCAGGGCTCTGAGATGGATGATTTGGGGGAGAAGACGTCAGAGTGGCTGCGGGACAGGTGCTGATCCGGCTGCAGGTGCTGTGTCCCCAGCTCACGCAGTGGGGACTGCTCAGCGCGGCCAGCCGCCCTCATGGCCACTCCTGGGTTGGGGCACAGGGGGGAGTTACCAGTGGAACGTGGGGAATATGCGGGCAGAGGGCAATGGGGTGCTGTCCCACAGATCCTCTCCCCCAAAATGATGGGCAACATACACTCCTGGGACACTCACATACCATTGAATGCGGACACTGTGCTGGGTGCAGGCACGCTGTCCCCAGTGCAGAAGAGGGTGGTCTTGGCATCTTCAGTGCCCAGCTGGTGCTGCAGGACACCCTCCAGGCACTGCGTGATTTCCAAGAAGGAGGGGCGAGAAGTGGGCTCCATCTGTAGGAAGGAGGAGACCCTGGTGAGGTTGGTGCCCCTCCAGCCCTCTGGGGCAGCTCCCACCCCAGGCAAGGAATGGGAAGCTAGGATGAGGGCATCACGATGCAAGGGCTCACGCTGCAGCAGTGAAACGCCAGCTGGAGAAAGGCTGTCGGGCAGTCGTTTCCCACCATGGTGCGGAAAGTGGTGATGTCCAGGCCAAAATCCTGCCCCGGGGAGACAAGGAAGAGTGAGGCTGGGTGCCAGCACTGGGCTGTGTGCAGCAAGAGGGGACCCTGGAGCAACCCTCAGTGGGGATAAGGTCACCTTTCACATTTCAGGTGACATATTACCAGCCCTGGTCTTGCCATGCCCTGCCTCTGCTTCCCATCCCATTGAGTTACCTCAGTGCGGGGCAGGTAGTCAGGGTCAGCGGGGACACGAGCAATGGTCTCACACAGGATGATGCCATAGGCGAACACATCAGCCTGCAGAAAGCAGGGAGTTGCAGGGGGCTGCAGCCTGAAGCCATGTAGCAAGCCCTCCCCTCCAGCCCCCCTAGGATGCCCTTTCCCTCTCCCTTCGCATGCCCAGGTGGTCCCATGCAGCGTCACCTTCTCATTGTAGATCTCCCCACGTAGAACCTCAGGTGCCATCCAGTAGGGAGAGCCCACCACGGCCAGTGGCTCCTTCTCGCTGCCCTCACTGGGGACACAGTGGCATGTCAGGGTCCCACTTCCCCAGATCCCCTTCTCCCTGTGCCAACCCTCCTCCATGCACCCCATGTCCCATCTCACCCACCACCAGGTCACCAACACCATTCCCTTCTCCACTCCTCCTGGACATTCCTGAACATATCCATCCCCCATCAGTCCTCCCACCAGGGATCACCCCACCACCCCCATCCCCACAAAAACATCCATTGCCCTCCTGCTCCCATCCCAAGCGAGCTGGAACCTCTTGCTTGGAAGATGGGGATGGACAGACAGACCTGTAGGTGGGGATCTTCTCTGCCAAGCCGAAGTCACCCACCACAGCCGTGTAGCCATTGGCCTCACAGCGCACCAGGCAGTTCTGGGGGCACAGGAGGACCTCCTGTCAGCCCCCACCTTAACACCACCACTCCTGGGATGCGTGTAAGGGAAACTCATGGCATCAGGATGCCCCATACCTTGGACGTGAGGTCACGGTGGAAGATGCCTTTGGAGTGCAGGTAGCGCAGGCCACGGGCGATGTCGAGTGCCAGCTTGACACGCGTGGACCAGGAGAGGGGCACGGGGCTGTCCAGCAGCTGCTCCAGGTTCCCACCATTGATGTACTGGTGGGAAGAGCCATTGCCTTGCTGCACCCCGCTCCATCCTACCAAGCTGCTGGGTCCCCAAATCTCTTCCCATAGCTCCCCCAGTCACACACCAAGTGCCTTTATGGTCACTAACACCCTCTCCCTGGCCCCATGACCACCATCCCACTCTCACCTCTGTCAGCGCGTGCAGCTGCCCCTGGTGCACACACACCCCCATGAACCTGCAAGAAGAGAGGAGCTGAGCATGACCTGGGAGGATCCAGCCCCAGGAGCTCACCCAGCCCCCAGCAGCCCCAAGTCCCAGGGAATGGGACGAACCTGAGGATGTTAGGGTGTGAGAGGCGGTTCATTAGCTGCACCTCCCGCAGCATGTTGCCCCGGTTGCTGGTCAGTTTGTTCATCTTCAGCACCATGATCTGCCCGGATTGGCGGTGCCGCACCTGCAATGGGTGCAGGGGGAGCTCAGCTCTGGGGGTCCCCACACCCCAGGTATGGGGCATCCCAGGGTTAGCGGGGGGCTCTTTGAGCAAAGCAACACCCCAAGAACCCTCATGCTCATGACATACAACCTACGATCCCTGGAGCACCCCACATGCTGTTCACCCCCTCTACACGCCCAGACCCCCAGAATCACTGTGGCTGCCCAGTCCCAAGAGCGCAGGAATGGATCACAGCATGGAGTATGCGGCCAGACCCCATAGCAAGGGGTTGAGGACAGAAGGAACACACGCTTTCCCAAGCAGCCCTGGGGGCACGGTACTTGGATGATGCTGTATATTTAGCCAGCCCAAGGCTGTCACATGAGCTGTGGGCTGGCGCCCTGCCAGCAACAGCAACCAGGAAAGTAGCCAAACATGGACACCCCTGGCCCACCATGGTCCCCAGCATGTGTGGGGTGAAGGCACAAGCATAGGGTCCCCTGTACCAGTGTCAAGAAGATGGCACAAAGGAGGAAGGACACCCTCCCCTAAGCTGTCACAGGAGGAAGGACAGGATCCACAGCAGCTGCCTGGGGGGGCACTCGCTCAGCCCCAGCTGCACCCCAGCACACATGGAGGCACGGGCATTCCTCAGCGCTTCCGTCAGCTTGCTGCTCTTCTCCTTTTTAGTCGATGCTGCTTGAAGCTGCTGTGCTGGGCCCTCCCCACGTGCCCCCCCTCCCCAAACCTAGGGCAAACCACATGTGGCCCTCGCACATCAGCTGAGGCTCCCTGCATGCAAGTAGCACCTCCCACTGAAGGGCCTGGAGGGGAATTAGGAATTAATAAGGACCTCTCTCTATTAATCCCTGCCTGGGTGCACTGAGGCCAAACCAGCCTTGGGCAGGGTTGGAGCAAGTAGCAGCACAGCCTGGCTCATGGAGGGGCTCTGAATAATTCAGCAGCAGCTGCCACCCCACTCTGGTTACATCGCATCACCTC